TTTATTTTTTTTAAACTAATTTATGATTAACCACAGATTTTTTATTTCAGATTGGTCAGAATGATCTCAAAGCATGACTTAAATGACTATTTGAGGTTGTTATTTAAGAGAGAAATGTTAAAAATGAGCTATAAAGCCTGATTTTTATTACTTTTGCTTAAAAAACCTTTAAAAAAAAACAACTAATTTTTCATTAACCAAATATTTCTTATTTCAGATTGTTCAGAATTATCTCAAAGCAGTAGTTAAGTTACTATTTTAGGAGATTAAAAACTATTTATAAATGAAAAAAGTAAGTTAATCGAATGAATAACACAGGAAAAATAAAAATAGATAAATAAAATAATAATAATAATAGTTTTATTTTGAAAAATGAATAAATGGTACAAAGAAAAATGTGACGGGCCATTCAGATATTCTTGTTGAAGGTTTCTCATAAAATACCAATAAGAGGCGCCATTTTTATTAAAATATCGCCTGATCTTCTCTGGTTAGCAGCTTTCTTCTTCGTTGGTGTTTTGGTTAGAGGGAAATTAAATAATTAAATAATTTCCCTCTGGGATTATTAAAGTATTTCTGATTCTGATTCTGATATAACGTCTGTGTCCCTGCAGCCTCTGAGGGTGAACGGGGTCAAAGTTTACACCGAGAACGTGGACAAGAGGCAGGTCATCATGGACCTGCAGATCAGGTAAAGACTCAGAAAACCATTTTTATTAACCACAGAACAATTCTCACCTCAGATCAGTCAGAATTATCTCAAAGAAGGAGTTAAGTTACTATTTTAAGTCGTTCTTTACGAGAGAAACGCTAAAAATGGGTTTTAAAGACAGATTTTTCTCACTTTGGCATAATAATCTTTAAAAATACTTTTTTATTAACCACAGATTTCTCATTTCAGATTGTTCAGAATTATCTCAAATCAGGAGTTAAATTAATATTTTAAGTCGTTCCTTAAGAGGTGATGTTAGAAATTGGCTTAAAACCCACATTTTTCTCACTTTTACAGAAAAAACCTTAAAACATTTTTATTCATCATATATTTCTTATTTCAGATTGAGCAGAATTAACTCAAAGAAGGAGTTAAGTTACTATTTTAAGTCTTTTCTTAAGAGATAAACGCAAAAAATGGGTTTTAAAGACAGATTTTTCTCACTTTTGCATAATAATCTTTAAAAAGAATAAATACTTTTTTATTAACCACAGATTTCTCATTTCAGATTGTTCAGAATTATCTCAAAGCAGGAGTTAAATTTATGTTTTAAGTCGTTCTTTAAGAGAGAAGTTCTAAAAATGGGTTTTAAAGCCTGATTTTTCTGACTTTTACAGAAAAAACCATACAAAATTTTTATTAATCATATATTTCTCATTTCAGGTTGATCTGAATTATCTCAAAGCAGGAGTTAAATTACTATTTTAAGTCATTTTTTAAGAGAGAAGTGCTAAAAATGGGCTTTAAAGCCTGATTTTTCTCACTTTTACATAAAATAATTCAAAAAACAAAAACACATTTTTTATTAACCCCAGATTTTTCAT